TTTTTTGAGACAGGGTCTCCCTGTAGCCTCAGCTGTCCTGGAACTCACTATGTAGACCAGGCTGGCCTTGAACTCACAAAGATCCGCCTGCCTCTGCCTCCAAGTGCTGAGATTAAAGGTGTGCGCCACCACACCAAAGTGACCCTTAATTAGGGTGACCAACCTTCATGGTTTGCCTGGAACTCTCCTAGTTTTAGTACTTAAAGCCCCATGTACCAGCAAACTTGTGAGTCTAAGAGAAACTGGCAGGCATTAAGTACTGTATGGTAGTGCATGTAGTTATTTCTGTCCTCACCCTGGTTGCCACTCTGTCTGCCCAGATGCTTGTGGTGTTCAAGTCGGCACCTATCCTGAAGCGGGCCCTGAAGGTAAAACAAGCCATGATGCAGCTCTATGTGCTGAAGCTGCTCAAAGTGCAAACCAAGTACTTGGGGCGACAGTGGCGCAAGAGCAACATGAAGACGATGTCTGCCATCTACCAGAAGGTTCGGCATCGGCTGAACGATGACTGGGCATATGGCAATGGTGAGGCCACACATAAAGCAGCAGTGATGGGGGAGGGTGGAACAAGGACTTTTTATTCCGCACCTTTGGTACCTCTACCCTGAGCTTCCCACTGAAGAACAAAGGGGCCAGGCTCCAGCTTCTGTGGCACCAGGAGAGGAGCTCTAGGAAGCACTTTGGATCAGCAGGATCAGTGTCTGGCTGTCCTGTTTCTCTCTCCCTCCACCTTAAACCATTCATTTTCTAGAAATTGTCATAGGTCTCTGCCTTTCTTCCTTCTTCATCCTTAACTGCAACTGCCTTCTGGCCACCTAAATCCACAGCTCCTGACTGGTTCCCTGCCTCCAGTTTCTTCCCTCCCATCAGCACCTCCAGTTTGGCCCCAATAATCTTTTCAACACACACATTCTGTGTTACCACATCCTGAGTAAAATTCCTTATTAGGAATTTCTATTTCCTTTAGGATTGGAGTCATACCCTCAAAGCATGTAGGACCGAATCATTCTCCATCCCCTGTCCCATAGTCTGATCCAGCTTACATTTCAAGCCCATTAACTGTGGTGGCCAGCCTCTGTCACACCCAGGACTGCAGGACAGAGTATAGTCCCTCAGTATCAGCTAGGGATCAGCTCCAGAACCCCTGCAGATTCCAGCATCCACAGATGCTGAGTCTCTTCAGTGTGCCCTCTGTGTGCAGAATAGACATGCTCTAGAGAGTTGATTACACCCAATCCTAGAATGTTAGTCCGGTTATTTCCTGTTTCTGGGCCTCTGTATACTATTCTGTACCTACAGTGTCTTCCTCCAACCCATGTTCAGCACACTTTCTAAGCATGAATTCTCTCTTGGCAGAAGCAGGACCCAGAGATTCCCTCATTTGCTCATCCTCTCACTTCCCTGACCAGGTGCCATGTGCCACCTTGAACCCAGGTGCTGGGAACAGTTACAGAGCCTTAATGCCACAACTGTAACACTGTGACACACAACACCCCTTTGGGTCTTCAGGTTCTCTAAGAACAAGCCTTTTTCTCAGTAGATCTGGATTTTTCTTTGTACCAGACTCTCCTTTGCATCTAGGGAAGATACTAATTAGTAATCTTCATGAGGCTGGATTTAGATGTGACTTCCTCCAGGGTAAAAAAAAAATCTGTTCTCAAGAGGAACTTACCAGGCTGGGCCCTTAACTAAGTTTTCCTGCTTTGTACCAGATCTTGATGCCAGGCCTTGGGACTTTCAGGCAGAAGAGTGTGCTCTTCGTGCCAACATTGAACGTTTCAATGCCCGGCGTTATGACCGAGCTCACAGCAACCCCGACTTCTTGCCAGTGGACAATTGCCTGCAAAGTGTCCTGGGCCAGCGGGTAGATCTTCCTGAGGACTTCCAGATGAACTATGACCTCTGGCTAGAAAGGGAGGTCTTCTCCAAGCCCATTTCCTGGGAAGAGCTGCTGCAGTGATCCTGTTGGACAGCAGACTGAAAGGAAGTAATCTACCTGAGGGATTGGCCTCATCCTTGCTGCAGTGCTCCCATCCCCCTCCAGGTGGCAGCACAGCTCCACTGAGGTCTCCACAGCCAGCCCAGCCTGTGTGTGAGCCCAGGCTGGCCTCTGGTTGATTCCAACATCCTACTCAGGAGCAGTCATCCATGTTGGGATCTACTCTTCCTTCACCTCACCACTTCTACCCTCCTCTCCCTATGATGGATTGCAACTCATTTCACAATCAGCCCTGTGCTGGGAAAAGTTGGAATGGGCCATACACTCCTCATCAACAGCTGAGTTTCAAGGTCACGCTGACTCTTTCTGAGACATGCAGCTTTGGCATGTCAGTTTTCTAATGAGGAGAGGTTAGTGTGAAGGCCAAGACTAGAGCGTTGGCACTTTGGTTGTGATCTGGGGGTTTCTGATACCATTCCAGCCTCCTGTTGAGTTTTGTTCAGAGGTGATACTGCAGCCTCTGCACTCTGGTTTTGGATAGGGTCAAAGGTAGAGAAGCTTCCCATAACCAGAGGTTTGAGTTTCCTCTTGGGTTGCAAGGGCCTGTAAATGTATAAATCTGTGTATGTCCTTATGTCACGATGGGGTTTTTAATGTGTTTGTGTATTCTGTTTACATTAAAAGAAAGCAAAAACAATCCCTGTTGCCTTGTCTGTAAGAAATACAGGTTCCAGGGACTGGAGAGATGGCTCAGCAGTTAAGAGCACTGGCTGCTCTTGCAGAGGACCCAGGTTCAGTTCTTAGTACCCACATGGCAGCCAACAACTATCCCTAACACCAGTTCTAAGGGCTCCGATGCCCTCTTCTGATCACCAGAGGCACTGCGTGAATGGATGCACTTAACATGCAGGCAAAACACTCATACACATAAAAAAAGTAAGTTAAAAATAAAATTTAACTGCATGTGGTAGCACACACCTTTAGTCCCAGCACTCAGGAGGCAGAGGTAGGCAGATCTCTGTGAGATTGAGGCTAGCCTGGTCTACATAGTGAGTGGAAGCCAGCTGGAGATACAGAGAGACCCTATCTCAAAACAGACAAGTTCTGGGGACTAGGAGTGTAACTCAGTTGGTAGAGTGCTTGCCTAGCAGGTCAAAAGCCCTGGCTTCAATCCCAGCACCACATAAACCAAGCATGGTGGTGTATACTTGTAATCTTAGCACTTGGGAGGTAAAGGCAGGAGAATCAGAAGTTCACAGTCATCCTTTGCTACATAGTTCAAGGCCAGCCTCAAACAAAAACAAAAATAGGGTCTCTGAAAATTTAGTTCTCTTTAGAGAACCAGCATTAATAAATCACTCACTTGTCTCTTGGCTTGTCTGCTTGCTCCTACCCTCCCACCCCCTACCCTTGTCCCCATGAGGAGGGAAGGAGAAGTTGGAACTTAGTGAAAAATCATTTGTCCACATCAATCTGGGATTGCATTGTGTTGCTAGAGTAACCAGTGGTCCTGAACTGCTAGTCTTGTAGAAACCTCAGGTTTCTCAGGATCACACTCTTGAGCTGTCCTCAACCAAAGCAGTTAGTGCTAGGATAAAACAGGTTCAGTTGCTCAGGTCTTTATTGGGGCAGAGGTGATTGGGACCAAGAAGAAACGTGTACCCAGGGCTATTAGGAGTCAACTGCATGTGGGAGCCTCCTATGGCTAAGGGAAATGAGTCTGCCTCATTCAGCTCAGGTACTTGGTCATGCCTGCCTCTATCTCCTTCCAGGCTCCACCTCAGAGTACCTGTGTGATGTTAGTGACAGGACTGTTCTTCAAAACTGCTGGAAGCTTCCTTAGGCAACATATATGAGGTCTTAAATCTCTAAAGGGGAGAGAGGGTGTCTTGACTGATAAAGGAAGCTTTCTAAGTGTCTCTTTTGTTGGTTTTTAGATTCAATGCCTTCAGGGTCTCACCTGCTAAGCCTTAGGATGGGTATTAATATGCCAGCTTCATGGAAACAGCCAGGTGGAAGGATCAGCTTGGAAGTCATGTGGTCTTATGGGATGGAAAGTCCCTATGACTGGCCCTTTTCCCCAAAGTAACTTACACAGGACAAGGGAGCCTGACTGTCTATGTACATGGTGGATCTGTTTGCCAGAACTGATAAGGATGTATAGATGCTGAGATTTCTGTTGGAGAAGATGGATCTTCACATTCTTGTTCCAGTGTGCATCTAAGTTACTAAAATTGTTTGACCTGGGGCTTTAGCCCCATCTCTGTTTTGACTTCCCCAGGTTCTCCTCTGCCTTGTAGAAAAGAACTTGATACTATCAAGCCTGGGCAGGTGAATTCCTTCATCTTTTGGTTCAGTCACTGGTCCCAGGGGAGGGGAGCAAAGCAGCTTCTCACCACCTCAGTGGGCTATTGTCATATTGGTCCTTAGAACCCAGGTCCCTGTATGGAAATGTTTGGGAACCACCCAGTCTCTGACTTTACCCCTTATCTGAGTGATGAGATGTACATGAAGGAGCTCTGACAATGGTTGAGTCACACAGAAGGGTCCAGTGCTCCTTAATGCACCCAAGGGATGTATCACCTTGAAGGTGGGAACTGTTCCTTGTAGGTCCTAAGAACTACTTACTGGATAGTAAACAAGAACCAGGCACATGGATGATTTCTGAAGTCACATTCTCTACATAGTATTAGCAAATAATGGATACTATGAGTACTATTCTAGGCACTGTGGTGGAACGTCTGTCAGGACAGCATGATGATTACTCTTCATTTGTCAATTCGACTGGATTTAGATTAGCCTAGGAGGTACACATCAGGGTGTGTTTATAGGGGAGTTTCCAGAGAGGTTTAACTGAGGAGGGAAGATTTACCCTAAATATGGCACCATCCCATGGCTGGAGGCCCAGGCTGAATAAAAAGGAGAAAAGAGAAAGCAAACTGAACGCCAGCATTCATCACTCTGCTTTCTGACTCTGGACAGATGCAGTGTGTCTAGCCACCTTGTGCTCTTTTCACCATGCCTTCCCTTCCATGATGGACTGTATCTCCTCACACCAGGAGCCCAAATAAACCTTTCCTTAAATTGCTTTTGTCAGATATTTTGTCACAGTAACAAGAAAAGTAATATGCCCTAAAGTAAATGCCACTGCAATTCCTGTTTGTCAGATGAGAAAACTGTGGCACGGAAAGGGTAAAGAGCTGGCCCAAGGTCATACAAAAATTAGGGATAGAACCAGAATTCAAACCCAGCCTCCAATAGAATATAACATCAGACTTGGGCAGGAGGTATCAGAAGTTCAAGGCTAGCATGAACTACAGGCTGTTCCCTGTCAGTCCTAAGAACCATTTACTGGATGCTAAACAGGGACCTGAGTGATGATTATTCTTGTCAACTATAGAATCACCCAGGAGATGCATCTCAGAGTATGTTTTTAGGGGTGTTTGAGAGAGGTTTAACTGAGGAGAAAAGGAGAAAAGAGTTACCCTAAATGTGGATAGTATTGAGACCCTGTCTCAACAACAAAAAAGAAATATAAACTCTGAAAAATCTCACTTCCACCCCCTGTAATCATTCTCAGCCCTTGGCACTCACTCCAGTGTTTTCAGTTGTTCATTTGTTTGCCATAGTCACCTAGTAGTAGCTCTGCCACGTTCCCTGGTGCAGAAGATTCATGGCAAACATTCCTTGCTTTAGGCCCTGACTGGGCCACCCAGGCTTGGCCTTGGCTTAGCTTCTGACTTACCCTGAGTATACCCCCAAAGTAACTGGGATTGGTGCTAGGTTTTTATGTTTGGTTTGGTTTGACATATTAGGGATTGAACCCAGGGTCTCACACACATTAGGCAAGTGCTCTACCACTGAGATCTGATCCCAGCACTTTCTACTTTTGTTGTTGATTATAATTTATAACAAATTTATTTTAAAACAGTTCCTTGGTATACATATAATTTTATCATTTATTAAAGAGGAAAATCTGCATATTAATAAGATAGATGTGCTTGTTTACTTTTACATAGAGGATGAAATCTTGGTGAAGCATAGTAGCATATACCTATAATGCCAGGACTTGGTAGGTAGAAACAGAAGGATCAGGAGCTCTAGGTCAGCCTAGATTACAACACAGTAAGTTTTGCTAGCTGCCGTGTGGGTGCTGAGAACCAAACCCAGGTCCTCTGTAGAAACAGCCAGTACTCTTAACCACTGAGTCATCTCTCCAGCCCTGTAAATTATTTTGTTTTGTTTTGTTTGCTTTTTAAAACTTTCATTCATTTGAAATTTTTATTTTGAAAGAGGGTTTCACTATGTTGCTCACGCTGGCCTTGAATTTGCAGTCTTACTGCTTCAGCCTCCCAAGTAACTGAGCCACTAGGTACCGCAATTCATTTCTCTCCTGGTTTCAGAGGTCTCCTATGCCAGCTGCCCCTGCTGCATGTGCTAGGCTTATCTCTCTGCAGGCTGTCTTCCTGTCTGTCCTGTAATGAACTGATTACTTGGAGACATAGCTGCTGCTGTGTTCATTTGGCACTTGGCACAGTCAGTCAGCCTTGGGATGCTGCTATAAAATAAGTGGTTAGCTCTCTTAGGAGCCAGACAGCCCTAACTTTTAATCCAAGCTCGGACCTTTGCTCACTGAGGCTCTTTGAGCTAATAGAGCTCTAAGCCTCGGGTGGCTTACCTGTAACACTTGGCTTAAACTTGGCTGTTGCAAGGCCAAACAAGGCAATGAATCATGGATCTGCATACTTGGGTGACTAGGGACAATTATAATAGTAGTGTTAGCATTGCTGATGACCCTTCCTAATTCTAACCTATGAATTTGCATCCATTTCCTGTGTCTCCTAGAAAACAAATCCTCAAAGGCCAGAACTGTGTTTTATACCTCCTTACAGCCATCTTAGCTCAATGCTCTGAATCTGAGGCTTCTCAGAAGGGCCAGCCACTCAGCTAGCAGCCCTACCATCATATGTCACAAATCTAAGGCCTGCTCTGGGCCAGGTGCTGCACTAAATGCCTTGGTCCAGGTGAGGAAGATACCAGTATCTCCTACTTCTCCACAGAATTCTTCCACAAAATCCATCCAAAAGGCCCACCATGGGTCCCAGGGGCCCAATCCATGCCTTTCTCCTGGACAAGGGACTGGGCTGGGGGAGCCTACAGACATAGAGTGGAAAGCGAGCCGAGATTGCTGGACAGGGGTAGGGTATGTACTTCCTTTGCTGGATTAGGAAAATGTTTACCCAAGTCCTGCCCAGGCTGGGCTCTGTTCCTGTCTAGGGCTACACTGTACTTCGGGTTGTAATTCATGTTGATGTGTCAATGGCTGAGAGGAGAGGGGAAGGAGGTTTGAATACCTTTGATTGCAAACAGTCTTCACTGCTGACTGAGGAAGACATCTGGACCAACAGGACCCCTGGCAAAGTTCTTCCAGCCCTGTAGAGTCTATTCCCCTTCCACAACCAAGATTTAAGGATCGAATCTGTGATCCTCCTGCTTCCACCCCATCAACATGAACTATCAGTGTATGCTAGCACAACTGGCATAAGGCTTAAATCTGTGGATGGGCCTCAGTGGGACCAAGAAGAGCATCAGTAAAGGCAGACTGAGGACAGCAACTCTCCCAAAGTTGGGATTCTCGGTGGAGCCTCTTCCTTTTCCCTACCCAGGAGAATGAGCAGAGCCCAGCCTGACCCTAGGGAACTACGAGCCTGGGGTCTCAGGTCATCTCTGGAGTGAGCTTGGGGGCAGGGTATCTGGAGCCTGGGGGACTGTGTCTTACAGGCATGGAGGAGGAGGGGAGAATGGCTAATGGGAAGCAGGTGAGGGGCTGTCCATGCTCCAGCCAGGGGACAGGCTGGCTGGGATGGCCCAGTCAGTGGGAGGACCTGTCAGCTCACAGATAATCCCACAAAACAGGCTCTGAGATGCCCATTCATATTAATTATGTGTGAAGTGGGTGGTTGTAAAGTTAGCTTTCTCTTCATTTAGCTGTCACTGAACAGAAAAATATGAGCTGTGGGCAGATGCACCTGGATGGGAGCCAGTAGCCAGCCTCCAGCCTTCCTGTACCCTCCCCACAGTGGGCCTGCCCCCAACATGGGCCTTCTTCAGCCTCTGCCCATGGCCTCAGCCAATGCTAACACTCTTGGTGACTTGACCTTGGTCTCGGCATTATTTTCTTCTGTCTGGTCCTGCCTCTATTTCAGCTTCCTTTGCTTGGGCTTCACAGAGCCTGTACTTCTCTTCCTCCATCTTTCTGTCGTTCTAAACTAAGAAAAAAGAAATCATGGTGCAGGGGTTATTTTTTTATTTTTATTTTTTGACCATTGTTCTGTTTCTGGCACAGCACAATGCCTGGCACAGAGCAGGACTTTAACAAATGTTTCCAGAACAAACTAACCCCTCTCTGCATTCATATGGAGCACCATCCCATGGGCCAGAGTCTCAGACTAAATATAAAGGAGAAAGCAAGCTGAGCAGGAGAATTCCTCTCTCTCTGCTCCCTGTCTGTGACCAGCTGCCTCACACTCCTGCTGCTATGACTCCCACTTCATGATGAACCGTGTCCTCAAACTGTGAGCCAGAAGAAACGCTTCCTTCCTTAAGTCGCTTTGGTCAGGTATTTTGTTACAGCAAGAAAACTAATACAGTAGCTCTCAGACTTTTGTGGAACAGAGGGCCAAAACTGTGTTGACCATTCCTTGGATGAAGACATTTCTAGTACAGTGAAATGCATCCTGGAATTAGAGATGGGATCTGAGTCCCCTAACTGACCAGTGGTGAAGGCATGGAAGGCTCATCAGTGATGGCTGAGGGAACTTTCTCTCCCGTTTGATTCTAACCTTCCTGATGGCCCACTTCTGCCAACATCAGGACAGAGAAGAAAGAAGTTGCCAGCAGCTGGGGAAGGAAGAGGGAAGACAATCACTTCCTTGGGGATACATGGCCTCCTCACAGTGACTATCTTGGCTAGGAAATCTAATCTGATAGGATACTTGCTCCCTGCTCTGATGTATCTTTGAATGCTTGAGCTTCTCTGTGCCCGGAAGACGAGGCATTGGGGGGTGGGGGTGCAGGCTGAGTTGAGTGGAATTCTTCTGAGCAATGTGGTTGTGTTTACTGGGGGGTGATGGGTGGGGGGTGGGTAAGAGGGACAGGCCTGCTTTTTTCCTGCCTTCCAGGCTCCAGAGATAAGGCAGAAAGTGGGGATGAAGGATAGAATGGGTAATATTCTAAAACCACAAGAGTTCTGGCTTTCGTCTCTGCCCCACAGCTCAAAGTGATCTCTGGGGCATCTTGGGAGAAGGCAGCTGCCCCACCCCCAGCACTTGGGGTCCCAGCCCACAGGCACTCAGAACCTCCACGGGCTCCCTATTCTTCTAGTCTCCTTTCCATGGTCAGTTCATCCACAAACGTTTTGTTTCTCAGTTTTCTTACTCCCTTTCCCAACCCCAAATTTCACTGCCAAATAAGCCCAGCTCTAGAACCTCCTAGAACCTGCCAAAGCCTAGATAGGTAAGAGAACCAGGCATGGCATACATTGGTCTTTCAAGGGCACTGCCATTGACCTTCCACCTTCCCTATAGATCCCTGGATCCTTGCTAGCTCCTAGACATAGGCGAGCCCTAAAGAAAGTGGTGGCCATGACAGTCACCTAGTACGAAAAACACCACTGTGTTTATTTTTTATGCTGGGTAGCACACCAAAACAAAATAAAACAGAAATATCTTTACAAAAATTGGGATTAGGATCTCAGGGGCTCAGAGACTAGAAAAATCTGTCTTATTCTGATCAACATCCATTATGATTTCCAAGGCCTAACTCTGCCCTGATCTTAGAGAAGCAAATCCAAATGTTTGGTGATTTCTGAGGGAATGTCTTTCCGCCTTGGAGAAATCTCTATAACATGTTGGGAGACTGGACACAGAGTAAGGGATGCCTGGAGCAGGGGAGATCCCCCCACACCTTCTATTAAGCTGATTTTTATCTTCTAGTCCTTGTCAGCTCCAGATGCTGGGCACATGCCCCTTAGTGCTGAGAAGGTAGAAGAGAAATCAACCCTAGGTGGTCACAAAGATCTCCTCAGTTCAATCAGAATTCTCTTCCCATTTTCCTGGGCTCCCTGATTGAGGAGACAGTTAAGTCTTTCAGTAGGAGAGATGACACCTGGCCATAAAGTCTTGAGGAAGTAAAGCAGTGTCTCCCTCTCTGCACCCCAGTTTGAGTGAAGGGATCCAGTTTGTGTAATGAAGAGTCCTGCCTGCATTGAAGCCCTTTCTCTTAAGCAGCCCCATTTCTTTATTCTGAGACAAGTCCCTGTAATCTGTTCCCTGTTGGAGGCCAAAGGTCCTAGCTACCCTCCCAGGCCTCTAGAACCACTCAGGGTATGGAGGCAGAAGGGTGTGTTGTCTGGTGTCCAGTGGGGGATTGGATGGGAACAGAAAGAGGGGTGGGCAGCTCAGTCTGTGTCTACACAGCCCATCACGTGGTCCAATTCAGCAGGCTGGGAGGCTCCTTGGGCTTCATCCTGAGCGAGACAAGGCTTGGAGACTTGTAGTCCCCATCTGGAGAGGGCTCAAAGCCGTGGCCTCCCAGAGCAGGAGGAAAGCCATGGATTGAGTAGATGCCAGGGTGGGCTGCAGGGGAGGCTGGCACCCCCATGAAGCCAGACACGTTTCCATGGGAGTGAGAGTATGGAGACATGCATGGAGAGGGGATGCCCTCTGGAGACATGAGGCAGTGGCCCCCTGGGCTCCCAGACCCTGGACTGGGCCATAGGGAGTTCTGCAACTGAAAAGAGAAGGGAAAAGGTCATGAGCTTCTTGCCCCAGAAGCTGTCTACCTTACCCTAGCAGTTCTTTCGTCGTGAGGCCTCAGAAACTTTCCAGGAAAGCTGTTCCAGGACCATTCTTCCTTCTACCCATGCTAGCATCCAGGATGCTCTTGCCAGCCTTCTCAAAATGATACTTTTGGGACTGGAGAGATGACTCAATGGTTAAGAGCACTGGCTGCTCTTGCAGAAGACCAGGGTTCCATTCCTAGCACCCACATGGTGGCTAACAATCATCTGCAACTCTAGTTCCAGGGGATCCAACACCCTATTCTGACCTCCACGGACACTGCATGACACGGATGCACTTACACACTTGTAGGCAATATACTCATAAAATAAAAATAATTTAAAAAAATGATACTTTCTTCTGCTGTAATTCTCTGTGTTCTGCATATATCACAGGTAGGCAAGAACCCTGATTTGCAGAGGAAGAAGTGATGAGCCCACATCACACAAGGCCCAGATGCTGCCAGGGATGCTCCAGGTCTCCCCATGTCATAGTGTGTGTTCTCACTAGCAACTCCACTGGGCAGAGCCAAGGCCTTGGTGCACAGCATGGCTAAGGGTCTCACCTGGGGGTGGCTGTCAGTTCGGGGCAGCACAGAGATGTCATAGGCAGCTGTGAAGGGGTTCCGCCCCTCCTGTATCTTCCCATAACGCTCACGTTTTCTCCACTTGGCTCTACGGTTCTGGAACCAGACCTGGGGGGTGATTGGGTGTTAGTGTTCTGGTCCTCTTGTCTTTTCCAGTTGATCTACCTTGCAGCATCCAATCAATGTAAAGGCTCTCCTGCTTAAACCCTCAATGACTCCCTAGAAACTCTGGACTCAGAACCAGCCCAGTTCCTAGCAAGGTCCCTTAGGTCTGGCCCCTGCCCTTTTTCCGGCCCTATGTCCTGACAGGCAACAGTACTAGGTTCTTCCTAGTTGCCTCCCAAGCTCCCACCCAGCTCTCCTTTGAGACAATCTGCTGTGTTCCTCCTTCATGCCTTTGAGTAGATTTTGCCTTCTGGGGCAATCTTCCTTTCCACCCAGCCATCCAGGCTAGGCATGTCTATTGGATGCTCATAATACCCTGGCCTTTCTCATTGTACTACCACATTCTGTACCCATGATCTGTTTGGGAACTTACCTTCCGATCATTCATGAGCCCTTGGAAGGTGGTGGTGGTATGTCTTGTACACATCTGTGTATATATATATGATGAATTTGGTATATCCTCTATCTTGTTATATTTATTTATATTGGTATATGTGGTTTTATTTCTGTTATTTAATAAACATCATGTCAGGCTTTAAGATAGATGTTGATAATATAAAAACCAAACTGGGGGTTACCCCCCCTACTTCTCACTGTAAGTTAGGACTGCTGTAATCCCAGCACTTGGGAAGTGGAGGCTAGAGGATCAGGAGTTCAAGGCCAGTTTCAGCTACGCAGTGAGTTTTAGGCCAGCCTAAGATAATGAGACCTTGCCTCAAATAAAGTACAAAAAACAACCATATAGAAACCAATCACTCTTTTCTAGGGATCCAGCTTGAAATAACAACAGAAAAGGCTATGTGTGCTTATAAGTATATAAAATTCCAACTACCCTGGCTGGGAGGAGACCTCTGCCAGCCCTCACATGCTTCTCTCCATGGTCACCCCTATTCACACAGGGAAGCAAGGACCTGATAATTAAAGAGGCTCTGCATACCCCTGTCCCACTAGATTCTAGGTTGCTGGGGTCCCAGAACAGGTCTGGCTAAGGTCAAAGAAGGCCACCCCGCATACCCAGCTGCCTGTGTTTTCTGTTCTCTCTTATCCCTCCCCTTCAGGCAGATGAAGAGGCCTTTATTAGAAATCATTTCCTTGTTACCACCCATTGCACCCTGGAACCACCACCACTGTAGACCTCTGCCTGGACTTTGGGTCTCTCTCCATTGTCCCATGTGTGGACTTAATTATTCCACTTCATGGGGTGGGACTTATGTTGGGTATCATGCCCTTGTCAGAGAAAACCTCCCTACTCTAGGGCTTTGTTATTGGGGAGGCTTCTGGACTGATTCCGGGAATCGCATGACTGACTATTCCTGCATCTTTCCAGGGTTGAAAAGGTTAGTAGCTGGCCATGGTGGCTCATGCCTGTAATCCCAGCATTCAGGAAGCTAAGGTGGGAAGATCTCTTGTTTGAGGCCAGCCTGGGATATAGAGTGAGAACCAGGTCAGCCTGGATTATAAGAAGAGTGAGACTCTAATTAAAAATAACAGCAACAATAACAACAAAAACCTAGGGCTAGAGAGATAACTTAATGGTTAAGAGCAACCTTTTCGAAGGACCCAAATCCCATTCCCAGTACCCACATCAGACATCTCATAACCACCTGTAACACCAGCACTGTACTCACATGCACAAACCCATACGTAGACACATAAACATACACATAATTTAAAAATAGTAAATAAATAAATAAATAAATAAATAATGTTTCTTTTCTTTTTGAGACAGGGTCTCCTGTAGCCCCAGCTGGCCTGGAACTTGCTATGTAGACCAGGCTGGCCTGCAACTCACAAAGATCTGCCTGTCTCTGCCTCCCAAGTGTTGAGATTAAAGGTGTACCCCACCACGCTTGGCTATAAATAAAAAATTTTAACAAAACAGAAACCCTTCCAAAAAACAAACAAAAAAAGGCAAAAGAGGAGGAGGAAGAGGAAGAGAAGGAGGAGGAAGAAGAGGTGGGGAGAGGGAGAGGGTGAGGGAGAAGGAGGAGGGTGGCCTAGGAGAGGAGTGAGTGTAATGTGCCCCAACTCCAAGCATTTTCACATGGAAGAACAATTCAGACACCATCCCAGTGTAACATTCCAGAGACTCCCTGTTCTGGTCTCCCTTGACTTTATATAATCTGGGGGTGTTCCCATGGCTTGGAGAGCCTTGAGGGACAGTTGTTTTAGCTGCCACCTAGAAGAAACAAGGAAGCAGGACAACCCAGCAGAGGAGAGCAAACAGCCTCAGCCCCTTTGGGTCTATATTGGATTCTGCTGTCAGGTTTTCTCTGCTCAATGCTAGCTGCTACAGAATGGCCTGTGGGGCTCTATAGGCTGTCAGAGTTGGCCTCTACCCTAAGATCTTCTCAAGTCTCTGGAAGGGCCTCATACAGTGAATAATAAGCAGGATCTTCACCACTACTTGTCTCCCACGTGGTGGGAGAAGTAGATTCCTCTGGTGGGGGCAGGGGTGGGTTCAGGAGGAACTAACCTCCTTACCCTTCTCCAGAACCCCAAACATGCCTTCCCTGTGCCTCCCCCATGGCATTAGGTAGCCTCTTCTGAATAAGTCAGTTCAAAGCAAGACCACAAATGATCAATCTCCCTCTTGGGCTAGACTTACTGAAATGTCTCCCTATCCCAGGCCTGCTTGTCACCCTCATGCTTTCTGTCACTTTCTACCTGCTTAGGCATGGCTTCCCTTCTCCCTCTTCCACCAGCGACCTACCCTTCCCTCCCCTCCCCAAGGGCTGGGCTTCCCACTAAGGAAGCTGGTTGCCTCATCTAAGAAGCCCTAAGGCTTGGTCTCTATAGGGAAGAATCTATTGGGGTGGGGAAGGGCTCCTGGTCAAGCGTTCCTAACTAGAGTCTGGGTGCCAGTTCATGATGATCCTGACATTCCCATCAGGGCCCTTCGCATTCTGGGCAGTCACCTCAGGAGCATCACTGATATGTGTTTGACACTTCACTTCTTCCTCAAGGAACTTTCTAACTTGCTACTATTGTTTCATTTTCCAGAAGTGGGAAACTGAGACATATTCAGTGTACTAAATCACCTGGCTAACTAGTGAATGACAGAGGATTCCCATATACCCATACACATCTTTTGACTCCAAGAGATCATTACCCCCAAGTCTATGTATAAGCCTCAATCTAATGATGTGTTTCATTAGAAAGCCAGAAAAGTCTGCAGCCACAGCAGCACGAAGGGTGAGCTCCAAAGGGCCAGCCATCAGTAGGACCTGGGTAAGGCAGCTCTGTGTGGCACGAGCATCCACCTCTCCTAGTACTTCCTTGGTCTGGCCCATAGTCTGGGTGGTCATGGTTAGAGCTCACCATCCCCTCACCTGTACCCGGGCCTCAGTCAGGTCTGTGCGTAGAGCCAGCTGCTCTCGGGCATAAACATCAGGGTAGTGGGTTTTCTGGAAAACTTTCTCCAACTCCTCCAGCTGAAATGTGCTGAAGGTCGTGCGGTTACGGCGCTTCTTGTTCTTGTTCTTGGCCAACTCCATGGAATCAGGAAGTCCCGGGGAAAGAGGGACACGAAGGCTGGCCAGGCAAGGGCTTGGGGAGCCTTGAACATTAGAGGGCCCGTCTCTGGGGCCTCCTCGGCAGTCCACAGGCAGCTGGGGAAAGCTGGAAGCTTTGGAGGCCTTCTCTTCAGCTGCAATGGAAAACACAAAAAGGAGGATGGAAACCAAACAGGGGTTTTTGTGGGTGGAATAGAGGGAGGGAAAGAGCATTGACGCTTCAGTCTCCGCCTACCCCTTCCTTCCCCTTCCCTTCCTCCTGGCAGCCGCCCTCCCTGGGAGCCTGGCATTCAGAGGCCTGCCTGCTGAGCCTCCAACTCAGCCTCTGGGGAGGGGGCCCTGGGGAACCATGTGCTCTGTGGTCTGGGTGGATCTGCTGGGGCCAGAGGGGGGTTCGTTTCGGGGAAGTGCTCTGTGGTGATGTGTCCCATAGGGTGTGGAGGTGCAAGGATTGGCGCCATAGCAGGGACCTCTACCCTGGCAGAGCCAAGAGCAGGGGCAGGGTAGTTGACATCTCCCACCCCTGCTAGAGTGCTCTCTCTTGTTCTGACTGTGCTGGCCTTCTTTCCCAGGCCCTCGGGGCTTTGCTAGCAGAGCCAGGCAGACCACAGAGATGCATAAACTACCTTTGGCTGGCCTGGCTGTGCCTTGTTCTTTGAATCCCAAGTCTTAGATTAATACTAATTTTCCCAGCTCTGAGGCATAAAGAGCAAGTTGGAACAAAGATGATTCCATAAGATATCACCTGTCTCCATTGATTATAAAGTTGCCCTGTCTGGAAAAGAAATTTAGTCCAGTATAGAAAGGTAAAAGCCAGATAGGTTATGCTTGAGAGGAGACATGGGGTGGGGTGGGGGGGGACAGTGTCACCACCCCTTCCCCTACTATCCTCATCATTGCCTTCCCTCCCTCCTCAGGAGCCTCTGACTGATTTCCGGTTACCCATGATTAACTGGCAGGGAGGGCTCCATTGCAGGCTGGGAACAATTTCCAGCAGCCTTATTCTGACGTGCTAACTCTCACTAAGGAAGCTTGGTGGAGACCCACCATTACCAGCCAACAGGGAATGATGCGAAATAGGTCACCCTGATTGTCCACACCCTTTCCTTCTAGAGAGGACCCCCAGCAGTGTCCTCATGAAACCAGTCCACTGGGATGGCAGCCACGACGCCACAAAGACGCCCCACTAACTCACAGGGCCCCTTCTTTGGCCCCAAGCCCGTCTCCAGTGGGGGCCTGGCCCCCAGGAGGCCTAGCTAGCTGGCACCAAAAAACAGTTTCCTACTAGAGAGTTAATGTCAAGATCACAGCTGTGTGTGTGTGTGTGGAGGGGTACAACCAGAAAGATGGCCTTTTCAAGATCTGAGTCAGATGAGTCCCTGTCTGGTAGACAAGTTGGGTAAAGTCCTTCTCAGTTGGAAAATGATCAGTGACCTCCTTGGACCACCCAGGCTGTGAAATTAGCTACCCATGTGTGTCCTGGAGGCCTGGGACAGTCAGACAAGGCCTGACCTCTGCTATACCCAGCGTGTAGCAACAGCACAGGCACCAGGTCTCCTCTACAACTTACAGGCAGGCTAGGGGAGGAACTGTGCGCCAGTACTGGCTCTCCACTCTTCACTGTCACATTTTTTTCCTAGGGGTAGTACTATTTGTTAGGAAGGAGGGATCAAGGAAGTCAAACTAAATAATAATAAAAAAAATGGTCAGAGAGCAGGGAGCCTGGAAAGGGTCACCCTGGAGAGGGTAAGTCCTCAAAATGGCCTGAAAGGGAAAAAAATCTTAGTGTTAGGTTCTAGACTTCAGGCAGAAAATGGGTGACAGGAACTCAGGCTAGCTGTTTGAGGAGTACTAACCACACCACAGAAAGTTCCCCAAACCCCAGGGGCTTACTCTCTACTTCTTGCACCCTCAATGTACATCCCCATAAGAGCCAACCCAGAGAAAGTAATCAGATCTGGGGCCCCATCACTTGCTCTCCAGATCTAGAACTACTAAGCTGATAAAGTCAGGGGATGAAAGGATAACACAGCACCTACCCCACAAAAGAGGCTAAGGCAGCTGACCTCTGCTCATCTCAGGCCAGCAGAATCTACCACCCTCTCAAAGAGACAAACAATTGCTCCCCCTCTCCCTGTAGCTCTTGCCCCAAAGCTTCCTAAGTCTATCTAGAAAACTCCAGAGACAAGACCACTTTTCAGAGTACCCCAAGCAGCCTCCTGATGAAGAGGTTCCTGGAGTCAAAGCAGCAGTTTGAATATAAGCAGGGAACACTGCTCGGTAAAGGAGGGTACATTTGAGGTGTAAAGAGTTGTCAGATATGGGGTGGTTCAGGGTGAATACTCATGTTAGGCACTGGGAGCCTGAAGCTAAGTACAGAGAGGGTCCTGAAACTGCAGAGCCTTGCGAGTGCCACAGAAGTCTACAGAAGGAAAGCTGGGCGCCAGGACTAGGACCTTTAAGGTGCCAACCGGGTCAGGATTCTATTCCGGACCTGGGCTTCACACTTGTGAACCTCTGACCCGGGAGAAGGGTACCCCAGCCCCTATCAGATGCTGCCTCAAGGCTCTGTACAGTTGATGGTGAGCAGCACTGCTCCTGGCCACTCTGCTGCGCAGACGGTGCCACCAGTGCGGTCAGTCGCAGGACCTTGGGTTCCAGGCTTTCAGCTTTCACTACAGCCTTGCTCCAAGACGTGCTGTTCTGTGTCTCTGCGCTGGGACTGCTAGGTGAGTCACAGAGTTTTCAGAAACCTGGGCTTCCTTTCCCCAGCCCTAGGGAAGTACGTGAGAACGTAAGCGCCTTTCTGCCTTTCGAGACGGATAGTGTGCTTCCTCAGAGGTTCATAGCCTCAGTCTAAAGGCTCAGACCAGGGCGTAGGGCTCTTTCGACGCCGGCAGTCGGCGGGGTCAGAGGCTCGGGTCCCACCTGTGGCAGGCAGAACTCCAGCACGAGTCATTTGCAGAGCACGAGGTCCCAGGTCAGGAAGCCCAGCTTGGGGACCCACTGGCAGCTCTGAGGGAGCCGGAAGGAACCGCAGGGCACCTCTCCAGTACACACAGCTACCAAGAGCTGAGGGCGCAAGCGTGTCTGGATAGGACCTCACATCGCCAGGGTCCGGAGCAAGGCTGGGGTGCCGGGCCGGAGAGAAGCGCGGTGCTCCAGGCTCCGGAACGCAACAGCGGGGCCTCAGCAAAGACCTCGCCGCAGATGGGGCGCAGCTGCTCGCTCGCTGGTCTGAACTGGAAACGCTTCGAGACCAGTATTTTAAAGGCAGAGACGTAAGACGGATTACCTCTGCTAAGTACACTGCGCACACCCGAACCCCTGGGGGCTGTTCCTCTCCAGCAAATACGAAGAGGTCAGAAGAGCTCCAGCCAGGGCAGCGGAAGGCTAAGGCGGCCGGGATCGCCGCTCAGGCTCGCGCTCACACCGCTGCACCTCCTTTTCGTTTGGCCGGTCCTGCGCCTAGCTCGAATCGTTAATTTTTTAATTCCATTTGTTCCTATTTTGTGGTGCTCTTTAAATACGTCTCTTTTTCTTTCCTCTGTTGTTTCTCCCTCTTCGTCCTTTTCTCCCTCGCTTACCCGCTTCGTTCGATCTTCTGTTTGCCTTTTCTCGGTCCTTCATTTATTCTTTCGTTCCTCGGCCCACCTCGTCGATTGCCGGGTACCTCTTGTTCTCGACCCTTTCCTCCGTTGTTTCGTTCAACTCCCTCCTCTCCCTTTTTGGTTGTTGCTTACACTGTTTGGTTTTCTTTCTCCGCATTTCGTTGTCGACACCCTCGCCGTCGGATCCCAGGTTGTTGGAGTCCTCTAGTGTTCTTCGCAGTGCGCCCAGCACCAGGGCTGTCCAACCTGGGGCAGTAGGTGCAGGATGCACATCCCCGGGTGGGGACTCTGGAGCATGGGGTAGGAGCTGCCCCGCGCGGCACATGCACCCAGGCGGGTACCTGTACCCGGCGGTGCTCTCGGCGCTGCGCGGCCGCCGCTGTCTGGCAGGGATCAGAGGAGCCAGGCCAACTGCTTCTCATTAAGTCCCAACTGTGGTTTTTATCAGGAGAGCCTCCTTTCAAAGGGCATTAGACACGAAGCTCCGCGGACTCGCTCATTTCCTCCGCTGACCCCCACACACCTCCCCGCCCTTCCCTACACACTCACACCACCCGGGCCGGACGAAGGCCCGAATTGCCCGCTGCCCAGACACTCTGAGGAGGCCCGCGAGGCGCCAGCGCTGAGCAGGCGCTTGCGGGTTGGGATCCAGGTCTGGGTCTGGGCTGTGAAATGTAGCAGCAGACAGGGGCTGGCCCTGGGCGCTGAGACTCCTGTGGGTCGGATCGGTCTTGCCAGGCCTGGGCGCTCAGACGCATTCACAGATAACGGCACACTGGGCACCGTCTCAGGAGCCCAAGGCGCCCAGGGTTTAGGCCTATCTAGGGCTGCTCGCGACAGCCCAGCGGTGACGATCCAGTGCCAGGACGCCGACACTGCAAAGAGGGCGACCGCCGTGCAACGACGGGGAGGCCAGGTTAGTCTGAGAAAAAACACAATTATTCGGTCTTGACAATGACCGGGTTCTAGGGGACCAGACACTGCACTCCGCGGGGTAGTGCACAGGCAGCACCCTTTCCCGCAGAGGCTGGGCCGTAGGAGAGGCGGGTCAGTCCAGGCCGCAGCCCTTCGATGAGTCCGGCTTGGCCACTCTAAGTCAAGGCCCAGCCTCTGCGTCCTCCACCGACGCCAGACACAAAAGCCGAGAGCCTTGCGCCCAGGGTCGGGGCCCAGCTAGGCTCCGGGGCCTTCCGCCCAGCCTCAGCTTCTGGGTTGGTTGTAGCTTAGGCCCAGATCCGGCCCAATGTGACCTTCTCCTTCCCAGTTCGTTCTCCTTCGGGCCTGAGTGGGCCAGGAACCGTCGCCACTCCACCCTCCTTTGACCTCCTGCCTCCGGATCCCGCTGTGGGTGACGCGGGTGGCTCAGCCTTCTGCACCGCACTGGCCTTTGCCTGGCCCGGACCAGCCGCGATTTGGCTTCCGAGGGAGTCGTGGGAAAGGAGAGCCGAGACCAGCAAAAAGGTTGAGAAACAGGCTAAGGGGAGAGGGAGACAGGGAGACCTGGGGGGACCAGGGGAGGGGAGCAAAGGGTCTGGCTGAGCGCTGCCCGCCGTGCGTTACCTTCCGCGGGGCCCTCGTAGAAGTGGCTGCCGTTGAGCAACGGCCCGGGTCCGAGGTCCTGCAGGTACTTGGCGGGCGGCTTGGCGGGCTCAGGGAGGTAGGGCTCCAGGGGTCCGCAGGCCGGAAAGCGGGTCATCCGCGGGCCGCGGGGCGGCGCGGGATGCAGGTGAGGAGCAGCGTCAGGAGTTCCCCGGGGGCCTGGAGGCTCGTCCCCCGGGGCCGCGTAAGGGCCGGCTGCTGGCCCCACCGCAAACGCTCGCCCGGGGTCCATGCCGGCTCAGGGAGCACAGGCCGCCGGGGCTCCGGGGCTTGCGCTACCCGCGCGGCCTGTAAGCGCCCGCCAAGGGGGAGGGACCTGGACTCGGGGGCGCGGAGCCCCCGGGAGCGGCGCACGCCGCGGGGGGTTGGGGGCAGGAGAGGGGGGCCTCTGACTTAATTCTGGAACTATCCACGTCACGTGCGGCCCCGCGCGGATTAACCCCTCGGAGCCCAGGAACCCCGCTATTCACCCCTAGCCGGGTGTCCCAGGCAGTTGGAGGAGAGGAGGGGGAAGGCTGCTTCCTTTTGAGGGCAGGATCCCTTTTGTCTAACCCTTCTGGGTGAGTTCCCGGTTCAGAGCTGTACCCTCGGTCCTTAAATCCACCTTAGTGGTTCTTGTCACTGGAAAGGTGCTGCCGTGTGCTGGCAGAACCCCTCCTCCAACAAACTTTTTTGAGGCCTGATCTGACAGCCTGGGAGGAGAGCTTCCAGCAGGGCTTTGGCTGACCCTTTACCTGGCTCTTTTTGCTGGTAGCTGGAAAGAGCTGGAAAGAAGAAAGCACACCTCCCTCAGACCCCCCCCCCCACAGGGACAGAAGTGATTGGATATTATGTGGAGACAGCTCTAGGCTCCCAGGGGTTTAAGGAGTTTGGACCTGGACACTATCATTAATTGGCCATGGGATCTTGAACCCATCACTTAGCGTCTTTCTGTTTATTGGTAGTGAGTTTCCGAGCCCAGGCAGGCCAGAGCAGACTGAGAGGCTCCCAGGACTGAACAATGGACAGTCCAGGCAGCTTTTGTGTCATATTTAGAGCAGTAGAAGGGCTGCTGCTCCTCTGAGCAGTAGGCACGAAGTGAATGCTTTTCAGAGTGTCCAGGAACCCACTGGAGAGGGGCTGCCTCAGGCCTGCTATTTTGGAGAGGGTGAAGGTAGGACTGCATCTCCTAAGAGGTGAGTCTCCACAGCCACAAGGAAACCTAGGATGAGGGCTGCAGCTCAGTATTTCTGAACAGGAACAACCCCTACTCTATCGAAAATTTGGGAAGAAATACCAGAGGTCCTTAGGACCCTAGCTCACTTACCATGGGTTAAAGAGCCTTTGGGTCTGGGTTACCATTTATATTTTCAATGTCCCCAGAGATTAGAGAGAGGGGTAGGGAGTCAAACATCATTTGTATTTCATTTGAATTCTCAATTTTTAAAGGAATCCAAGAGGCCTGGTGTGAACACCTCCCTCTTCCGTTGGAGGCTTAGAGGGGGTTTCTTGGCTGTCCTCAGCCAGAGTTGGGCTGTAAATCAAGGCCAAACAGGAACCAGAAGCCTTGCATCTCACAAGGAGTCATTAAGCCATTATTAAACATACGGTATCTTGCTGAGGCCTTATTGGCTTAAACACCACATTGGAGGCATTACAGCCATTAGGGCCCCTAATCACAGACTGCAGGCTGGGCAGAGATGGGAGCACCTGGGCCTGGTATTTCTAGCTAGAAAGAGGCTAGAGAGAGGCTTGGCTCAAAATTAGGTTTTCCCTTTGGCTTTACCGGGGGGGAATCCAGTGGACTCCAATTTGAATTGATCATTGATAAAGGTTTCAATAATTGTTGATTGGATATTGTTGATTTTCTAGAAGGATGTGTTATTTTAGAACATCTAATCAACAAAATTACCAAGAACTTAATTTGGAGGATAAAAGTATGACACAGGGAAAAATGTCTTAAAGAAGGCGACCTGGATTAAAAGCTGTTTTGCCTCAGGTACCTCAGTTTCTTTGTCATAAAAATGGGCCACACACATGGACATGGGGTATTTGAGAAGGGCTTGCGTTTTGCTGTATTGTGTTAATTAAGAAATAACAGTGGTGATTTCTCCAGAAATAGGGGCCCAGACTTCTGGTCTGTGGAAGTTTTCTGACTCCAGATTGAATGGTCCTGAGGCTGGGGTTAAATAGTTGTAACTTCATGGATCCATTCTCCCAAGCCTGGAAATTCCTCTTGACATTTTCTCACTTTGAATAGAAATAATTTCCATGCTGTGATGTTGTTACCACTTGAACCAAGGAGACAGGAAAGCCCAGATGACATTGGCGTTTGATGGATACATGGAGCTGCTCCTCCTGGGAGAATTTTCTCCCAGAACTGTGCAGGACAGGATACTAAGAGGAGCTGCTCATGCTTCCTTTGGACCACTGATAAACGCAGGCCTTCTTCTGTGCCTGGTCTGAGAGGAGTCCAATGGAGCAGGTGCATAGAAGGCACAAGAGAACTTCTGAGGCACTACTTTCCTCTTTAGGTGGATTGGAGATTGTGGAGGACTTGGAGACCCCGAAGCCCTCATTTCTCAGCCATGTGCACATACACATACTAACAGTGTGCTGGATATTAGCTTGTGTATCCTAGCTACATATTTTCTCTTCAGAATAACTTCACAAAATAGGAAAGACTATAGCCTTATTTTAAAGAGAAAGGGCCCAAGGCCACAGAAGAGAGCCATTGTTCAAGGTGGACATAGTTAGTGACAGAACCAAATTTGCACTCAGGTCTATGTTCCTTACCCCACAGATCTCTCTCTATTCTTCAGCCAACCTAACAAGGTGGAAATCATTTATTGGACACACTGTTATCTGAATGGGTAGACTGAGACTTCTTCCCAAAAGGAAGTTGAGGCCAGATGGAATTAGGGACAGAGTTGGTCTGAGAGAAGCTGTACTCTATTGCTTTCAGGAACATCAAGTGACACTCAGCTGTGGTGGCCAGAAAAGGGGAGAAAACAGAGAGAGGGTGGTTTCAGCTAAGCTGAGACCAAATGAAACAGAGTGTCTGACACCTGAATGATTTTACCACCAATTCAGATGTGGGACAAAGTTTTATTGAGTTCACTGTGCTGTTTATTAACCAGTTGAGTTTTCATAGCATTTGTCACTGATCCATTGCTCACAGAGAAAGAGATGAGCCCGTAAACAATCCAGAGAACTCTAGATCTTATAATAAGAAAAACTTAAAACAAAACAAAAAACAAAGCTCTTTATTTGCTAAGTAAAACAAATTTTTAAATGAAAATTATATACTTCTTGGTGACTGTTTAATTCATTCATCTTTAGGATGGCCTGCTGATGATAGTTGCTTCATGCTATCAGAATGAAACAGAAAGCAAAGCAGAAATGGTCCTTGCCTACATAGAGCTTATCCTTTGCTGGAGGCAAGAGTCTCACTCACATTGAAGTAACCCATCACTTGGATGTGAATCAGGACAGAATGTGTTCTTGAGAGCAGAGTTCCCGGCTCCTGGCTGAAGTGTAAGGTCAGTTTTTTAATTAGGGAAACATCAGTTCTAGCTACTTGTGTTTCATTTTCTACTTCCCTCAACCTCCTAGGAAAATGCTTTCCTCCTGTGGATATCCAGAAGGAGCTGGGACAATGGCACAGATGTAACCTCACATTTGAGATTTGCTTGATGTATGCAAGACTTCCTTTTAGATAGGAAAAACACAGTTGCTTTTTACCCCCTCTGAAGGGAAGACAGTAGGCATTGCCCTTGTTCTGTTTAAGACACTGAAATCCTAAATTGATCCTTACAAAAATTCTGGGTTTGAAAGCCCAAGTGGATTGTTTCTCATTAGTGACATTCTTTCTGGAAGGTCAGGCTAAGGAATGGTAAATAAACCTTCAGATCCGGCACTCCTCACCCATGAATGATATTTTTAAGAAAGGTTTGTGCTATGGAAGCCAGGATCCTTGACTGGGATTCTAACAATCCAGGCTGAATCCTGTGTGTTAAAGTGAAATTTCAGGGATGTTAGGAACTATTTTTCTCCTCCATTGATTTGATGTGTTTCATTGTAAAGCCACTTAACCTCTCTGTACCTCAGTTTCTCTACTGGAAAAGTGTGAGGAATGATTCTCTTGTCGACTTTGCTGTACTGAGTGAGCTAGTGTTTATACAGATGTTTCTTGAGCCTAGATCCACCCTTGAACCTGTATTTTTTTTTTCTGCCCCTTTTTACCTCGCTGGGGTAGGGGTGGAATGGGGTGGAAACAGAGGGGTGCAGTGATGACTGTGGTGTGGCCATATTCAGAGGGTCTGGGAGCCTTCGGCTGACTTACTGCTTTTATGTGAAAATATGTGAATTCCATGGACCATGCTGTGATTTTGTGGAGGAGTTTTATGAACTTATTCTTCATGTAAAACAGAAAGGGGGAGGTTTAGACTTTGAGGGAGTTTTAACACTCAGATTAGTTAATTTTATGCAAATCTTTGCTGAATGTCTGCCACATGGCAGACTGTGGGACTGTGCAGTTAGAGTCAGAGACAGTACCACTTACTTTCAGGGCATTTCCAGATGATCAGGAGAAGAACCCACAATAATAAGCATTTACTCTACAAAGTGTGGTTGTGCTGAGGAAGCCATAGGGGCCACAGGACAGGTGCTCATCCTGTGGGACAGGTAGTCATGGGCTACTCTTAAGGTTGACTCTAAAATGTAGAGTCAGGTGGCCTAGGTGAAGGTGAACAGAGAGGCAGGAAGAGACAGCATCCCAGGGAGAGTAGCCCATAGATGAGAGAGGAAGCCATGCTGGGGGAACTCAGATGTGATGAATACTGCTGGACCTAGGTTGTGGTGGGAGGAAGAAAGGCAAAAGAGGAGTCCAGAGGAATCCAGAGACACTCCAGGGAGCAGGAGGCTGGTTCTAGGGGCATTGGTCCAGTCCCTAGTATCTGCAGAACACAACTTCAAGCACTGTTTTCACCAGCAGGAGGTAAGGAGGAGGAAGAAGTCCTGATCTGTGGGAAGTCCCTCTATTCTGAGGTGAGGGAGACCCAAACCTGACACCCAGCAGGCACACATTAAGTCAGCACAAGAGTGAGAACAGAGAACCAGAAAACACATTCACACTGGAAGACTTGAAGTGGAGAGATGAGTGGAGGGGCTGAGCCCGTGATGTGGGCTAGGAGAGTGCTGGCCAGGGTACCCCTTGAACTCATTTTAGCAGGAAATCCATTGGTTCCAGAGTGCAGATTCCAGATTTGTTATTTTACAGGGCTAATAAGTACGTAATTATCACATTTGGGGCCCTTGGAAGGAAATGCAAAAATACACCCCTGAACATCCTGAGAAATATGGATGGACTTACCCAAGAGTTCTGGAAGGAGCTTGTCACCATGTTA